TTGGACTACGAAGCCAAATATGATACAATGATACTATAAAAGAGCTTCGTTTTTATATTTTAACGTAGCTAGCCCTTCGACTATACATGGCTTGGACGATTTTCCGTCCATTTATTAGCTATATCGCCGTTTCAGATGTAGATCAGGATAGTTTACGTCATCGGAAAGGTGTGACTTTAAAAAGAGGAATTTAACATATGCCCTAACAGCGATGATTGGTGCTCTGAGAGATACATTCAATGCTTTATGACATTGAGGATCTACGATCACATTGTGTTCTCGCTCTGTTCTAGATCCTTCTACTTGCGGATATGGCTAAAATGTTCAACAAGTTGGGTTTGAGTAACGTAGCTTTACTGCGATGTCTTACTGTAGAAGTATGGTAAGTACACTGCAAAGTCATGTTCTCATATTCTCTTAGAAGTTGCATAGTGAAGTTACTTGATATGTTGATTTTGTTAACTATTGAACTTACTGACGCTTTTTTTTTTTGCAGAGTTATACTGCATTGTTACTAAATTAACCCTTAAAAGCAGGTTTTCCACAAATTCTAAAAACGCTGAATATCGCTAAGGTACCTCTACACTGGGACTCTACCGTGCAGTACGGGAATGCTATCAAGATTAAGCGTTTGAAGAACTCTAGACTATCATTTTTGGCTGCATCTATGTAGCTAGATAAGCTATAATGAGATGAGACCAACATATGTGCTCACGGGTCACTGCCAGATTCACAGGCCGTTCTTTTGGCTTTAACGCGAAGCTACCTCCAATTCCCCTACCCAGCACCATTTGACCTCTGTTCTATCCAGACATTATGTCTCCTCGCCATTCAATGAATATTTTAATATTTTACCATAAACTATTCAGAGCATTAGGGACTGTATTACGGTGATCAATGCTCACAACCAATCAAAAAGCTATTCAAGCTCATTATCACTCGCTCTTCTACTCAGCAACTCAAGATGACCGAGGAGATAATCTTTATCATTAGTAATCAAACGGATCATTCCATTATGGTAATAAATAAATCGCAGGAGACGTACGGGGGTCGCGACTACTGGCTTACACCAATGAGCACAATTTATCACATGTACGTCCCAATTTGAATACAAAAACGATCATGTTTTGAAACCATAGTAAAAGAATGTGTGAATGTACGAAGTGCAATTGCAGTGACTGCTCAGCTCTGACTGACAACACATGATGCACTTGGGGGTCAGTTGTTTGTATATAAATACTTGAAAGTTGACTGAGAACCACACACCGAAACTGGAGAAACAAAGCAGTCCGTAAAACAAAGCGCGATTCACCTACAAAAACGCATGGAAGCAATTTCAGAACAATAAGAAAACACTACAATAATATGCACGAACTGCTGGTTCCCGTCCTCTCGAACACCAAACAATGGGCCCTGTGTAAAATAAAACTTTACAAAAGAACAACAGAAACCATAATGATAGATAGACCAGGGGTTGAGGCAAACGTATGTGAAAAGCAGATTGGGGATTGCGTGCGCGGATTCTTGAACACAGAGCCTAAAGGCCACGGGGAGAGAGATTTGCGTTCATCACGACGAAGAACAACACTGTTTCTTCTGATTTTCGTTGGTTGATGATGTGATGTCGACTCCTGACGATGGCAGCGGCACCATGCGATCCGAGCCAACATGCTTATTCGAGACACTCTTGTAGATTTCGGTCAGGATGTTTGTGAAAGCCGCCTCTACGTTCGTGCTGTCGAGGGCAGATGTTTCTAAATGCGAACTTTGAG